CCTGCCCGGCTTATCCACCATAAAAACAGCCATTCTCAAAAAGTATAAAAGATGGAATAAAAATCTGATTTCAATTTCAGATCAAACCCTGACCTTCCTCCTAGGACCCCTACGAGGTTCAAAACATCTGTTGATGGTATCTATGAAAGAAAATGCTTCCATCAAGGAGCAGAATTCCTAACCACAGATGGATGCCCTAGCAGCCCAGAGGGGTCACATTGAAGGACAGGACAGAGCAGAGTGGACGCAGTTACCTCCGTGTCCATCGTAGACAGAGAACATGGCTGTTTCACTGTCCAGCTCAGGAATGCAGTTGTGGGCATCCTGAAAGAGAGAGCAAAGGTCTGAAATGACAGAGATTGCATTAGACCCACAGAAAATCATAGGAACACAAAATTGTTGGGATTGGAAAAGCCCTCTGAGACCACTGAGCCCAACCACTGCCCCAGCACTGCCAACCCAAAGTGCTGTCCCACACCCCCAAAGAGCCACAACTACACTGCTTTTAAACCTTCTAGGGATGGGAGCTCCACCCCTGCCCTGGCCAGCCTGTGCCAGGGCTGGACAAACCTTTCCATAAAGAAATTGCTCACAATAGTCAACCTGAACCTGCCTTGGCACAGCTTGAGATTGTTTCCTCTTCTCCTGTCCATTGTTTCCTGGGAGACAAGTGTGACCCCCTGCTGGCTGCACCCTCCCCCCTCCCCTCAAGGAGTTGCAGAGCGTGAGAAGGTCCTCCTGATCCTCCTTTTCTCCAGGCTTAACCTTCCCCAGCTCCCTCAGCCACTGCTCAGTCTCATACTCCAGACCCCTCCCCAGCTCCTTTCCCATCTCTGGGCAAAGCACAAAGGTAAAAACCACCACAAGCCATAAGCAGTGCACAGCCCTTCTCTCCACAAGGTCTCTGTGGAGCAGCCAGCTGTGAGGAAGGCATCCCCATGATTTTTACAGCCTCAACTCCTTCCCCATGGGCAAGCAAACCCACCTTGGCTATTGCAACACAGAGCCTGGAACAGATGGCCAGGCTGAACCTTTCTCCTAGGCCCAGCTAACCCCCAGACATTCCTTCAATCCAGCCCTCACCACCTGACATCCCACACTCCCATGGTCAGGAAGAACATGTATCCTGCAATATGTTCAACAATGTGATCTTTTCTGTGGTTCATCACCTTCATTGTGCTACAATTGCCACAAAACATCGTGCTTACTCCAAGAGAGCAGTCTCAAATATCTGAATGTGTCCTTGCTGCCAGCAACATTCCAAAATTCACACACACAGAACTAGATCACAGCCCAGCAACCACTGAGCTCTCTCTTTTTTTGGGTACAACTCCTTGGATAAAGTCTCTTTGCTCTCCAGAATTCCAGTTTTCTGGAAATGAGAACTTTGTTCCTTGCTCAGGAAACAGGAACAGTGAGGCTCTGGGTTTATGTAGCACTCTTTGCATTGTAACTGCTGGCACTGGGATGAAAAGAGCTTCTGAACCAGCAAGTGACCATCTGAGTTCAAAACGAGTAATGACTGAATGGTAATGCAGGAAATTTCCCCAGCCCTCACTGGAGAGAGCAAATGAAAACAGAGATAAACCAAGAAGCAGCATTTTAGTGCTCACTTTTCTGAGCATTCACAGAAGCCAGTGAGACAGTGAACCCCCAACACAATAATTGGGATAAGTCCCAGGTGACCAAACAGCAGTGTAATTAAAGAGATGCAAATGCTGCTGTGGAGGAAACCCAGCACTGGCACCAAAAATAGTCTGTGCTGCCCTTGCTGAGCCCCTTCTGAGCCTGTCCTGATGTGTCCTCGCACTGAGCCCCAGCCCAGGGGCAGAATGGGCAGGGGGAGGCCTCAGTTCCCACCCGCCCCAGGGCTGGTGGCTCTGCAGGGCAGAGGCAGGTCCTGGCACTGCCAACGCCGCCAGGGCAGCGTGCAACCCAGCCCTGCTCAGGGAGCTGCACTGACTGTCGTCTCACTGTGATTTCGTGTGCTGAAGAGCTCACAAGGGCTCCAAAAGTCTGCTCCAACTACTCAGCCTTATGGATCCCTCCCCAGTCACCAGAGTGGTTACTGTAACAGCGGTGAAAAACTCTGTCTGGAACATCAAACACCCAATTCAGCCGACATGAGCAAGCAAATTAATAAATTAACCTGAGAGCTCATGTAACAAATCTCCACATTTTAAACCAAACTCTTTCAGTTTTTGCAGCAATGGCTTTTGTTCTAAGCCATGGGAAAGGAATGAAGCTGCACACTGGTGTCTCACTGTGGGGGTACAGGCAAAGTAGGAGCAAAGAGTTTAGAGAAGCCCCAACCAAGCACATCCTGTGCCTCCCACTATATCCCAGAGCACTCCTCTGGACAATAAAACTGACTTCAGCCCTTTTCTTTGTTGCTTCTCGTACCTAATACAATTTTTTTTTTGTATCCATATCCTTGGGGTCCCTCATCTGCCCCAAACATTTCCTTACTCCCAAAGTAACCACTCTGGGCTAAGCTACAGTAATTTCTTCAGAGCCCTGTACACCCAGCTCACTTGAAGGCTCCCAAAACCCAAGTACAAAGTGACAAAAAGCTCTTTTACACCCAAAATAGCTGTACCTTACCAGGTGCATACTCTGACTGGCTTCACCAACACACACAGAACCACAGCATTAAGCACAAATATTTGCTCAGGACTTTCTCAAGCCTTGTAGAAGAGCAGAAGTGCAACTGAACACGAAGAGAATGAAAAAAGAAAACAAGGTAAGACAGAGAGCAGAACACAGAGTGCTGGAATGCAAGAAAACTGACTGCTCAGCTGTGTGTAAAACACACATTTCTCTCCCATCAGAAAAAGAAGCAATCTGCAGCAGGTTCAACTCCTGCCATCTGCTTGTTTCTTGGGATAACTCAACTAAACCATGTTCACACTGATGGCCTCAGTGTTGCCTCTGCCAGCAGGGATAAACCAGAGATGCTGGGTAGTGCAGAACCCACATCTGCAGCTCAGGGCCTTGCCCAGCCTCTGCACAGCTACAGCCCCAAGTGAGGGAACCAGAGCCCTGTCCCAGCTGCGGGAGGGTTGAGTGAACTCACCAGCACCATAAATCAGGGTCACTCTGCTCTCCCACATCCAGCCTGTGTCCCTCACACAACCCAGCTCTGAGCAAAGGGATGCCAGAGCTGCTTACACACACATTAATCCCTTTGAGGTCACACTCAGTGCTCCAGCAATGTCCCTGTGTCCCCAGCTTGGAATACCTCAGGCACTGCCAACCAGTTCCACTCACGTTCTCTGAGAGACTCTCAGGAGCACAAGCACCAGTTCTGCATCTTCCACCCCGAGGACCAGAGTCCAGGGCTGCACACACAGAGAGGAGGAACCACCTCAGGTCACTGATTTGTCACCTGTAGGACTGCTGTCGCACTCCAAGAAGCAGTGATGTGTCTGACAAAATGGCTTATGGACCTAGACCAGCAAAACTTCAATGTCTGACAGCCTGAACGAGACATCCTCTCCAAATCACCCACAGCAAACAAAGCAAATTGAGAGATGTATCTGGTGTGGCTGCAGGGACCAGGATTAATCCCTACTGAATCCAGCTGTTTACTGGCTGCCCAGAAGGGAAAACAAAGCAGCACATGACTGGTACTCACAGAGGGTCTGAAGTTCACAGACCTGCAGGGCAGCAGCCCCACACCAACCAAGAGCTCTAAGAGCAGTTCCTGCAGCCTCCTGCACTGGGGAGGCACAGGCAAACCCTGGATCCTCAGCCAGGTGTGGGTCTGGCGGCAGCTCATCTGCCCACAATGAGCCCAGCAAAGCCAGCACTGGCAACAGGAAACTGACAGCAGCCATAAGAATTCTTCCCACAGATCTTCCTATAAATAAATAAAAACAGGGAGGAAGCACAGCAAGACACGGACACTTCATTTCAGGGGAGAAAATCAGGCAATTTCCCTGAGAACTTCCCACTCGCTTTCACTCAAATGCTCCTTCTCTTCATTTTTCACCCCGAACTCCTCACTTCTCGCAGGGATTTATCCAGCCGCACGTGTCACCCGCGACACGGGGGGACGCTCCACGCAGGAGCCGGAACACGCAGCTGCCGTGTGGAAATCGGGAAAGGCTGGGGCGGCACCGGGCGAGGCAAAGTGCCCCTTCCGGCCTCGGGAAGGGGTGACCAAGACCCCCGGACCTCCTCGCCGCTCGGCGCCGTCGGGGCCCGCCGGCGCAGGGCCCCGAGGAGCGGCGGCTGCGACCGCCGCCGCCCCGCCGGCCTCACCCCCTCACCTCCATGGAGACGCGCCATCCCTGCATGGCGCTGAACCCGAAGTGCAGCGGGCGCGGCCCGAGCCCGGCGCCGTCCCCGGAGCTCTTCACCGTGTTGGGCTGCGACAAGTAGGCGCCCATTGCGGCCGCGGCGGCCTCGGTCGGCGGCGCCCGGACCGGACCGGGGGCGCGAGCGGACTGCGGAGGCGGCGGGACCTCGCACCGGCGGGCGGCGACCGGAAGTCGCGCGGCCGGAAGCTCGGCGGCCGGAAGCGCCGACCATAGAGGCGCGGCCAGAGCGGCACCGCGGCCCGCTCCGCCCCGGGACTACCTACACGGCCCGCGGGTGGCTTCGACCTGCCCTGAGGCTCCTCCGGGGGAACAGCGGACTTGGAACCAGCGATGCCACCGCCAGCCGTTGCCGCAGGCGGCCACTCGCACAGATAATGGCGCGCACGCTCACAACTACCAAAATTATCGCCCTGCCCCTCTGTATAAGGGGCCCTTGCGCACACAGCACCTTATATAGGCTGAGTCACCCCCCCCCCCCCCCCCCCGACCAATCATCGACCCCGAGGGCCCCGTCTCGCTATCTCATTGGTTATTGTACGGGGCTGGCCCGCCCTATTCAGGATCCCTCTCGGCCCTTCGCGCAGGGCGCCCCCTGGCGAGCGACACGCCGCGGATCCCCGCCCGCCGGCCATTGGCGGGCGCTGACGCGCCGCGCGCGTCGCTGATTGGCCGCGGCAGAGGCCCCGCCCCGCACGGCGCCTTACGCAGCGCGGCGGTTGCGGCGGGGACGCGCTCGGGGCCGGGCGGTGCTGCGGGCCGGTAAGTGCGCGGCTCCCCCCTCGCCCCCCGCCCCGCTCCGGGACCGCCTAGATCGGGCACTGCTGGCAGGCCCGGGGCGCAGCCCCGGGGCGCAGCCCCGGCTGACAGGCCTGGCGGGCGCGGCCCGGTCCGGCCCGGCCCGGCCTGGCCTGGCCTAGCGCGCCTCACGGACCGCGCCTCTCCCGCAGGGTGTGCGACCGCAGCATGTCGGAGGGCGAGTCCAAGCAGGTGCCCAGCAGCGGCTCCGACCCCAAGCCGGAGCCCGCCTCGTCTGGCCCGGGGATGACCTCGGTGTCTGCGCCGGTGACTTCCGCGGCGCCCCCAGAGGAGGAGGAGGAGGAGAGCGAGGACGAGTCCGAGATCCTGGAGGAGTCGCCGTGCGGCCGCTGGCAGAAGCGGCGCGAGGAGGTCAGTGGCGGGAGCCGGTTCCGGAGCCGGGCTGTGGGGATCCCGGGCGGGGCTCGTCCGGCCTCCCCCCCACCTTCCCCCCCGCCCAGTCCCCGGTCCTCCTGCCGCCTGCACCCGGGACAGCTAGGCCCCACAGTGCGGGGCCGTCGCGCTCCGGGGAGGCGGGGAGATGGGTGGCCCATCTCCAGCCTCAGGGGCTGCCGTTCCTCGGCCGGAGCGCCCGGGCTGGAGCGCAGCCAGTGGTGCGTGCCCTGCCGCGGCCGCTGTGACGGCCGCCTGTTGCTGCTGTGGGGTAGGGAGTGGCTCGGCTCTCCCGGTGTGCGTCGCCTTCCACAGATCTTTCTCTCTGGGAGCGGTGGAGAGCGGTGACTGGGCAGTTCTTGGTGTTCTCTGGGGAGTGCATGGTACCTGCTGCCGAGGTGGCCAGTGACTTGAGTCAGTTACCGGGCTCCGCAGCTCTCAATGCTCACTTTGCTTTGTTGTCTGCAGCCAGGGTATGGCACAGGCAGCTCACTCGGGCCCGTTCCTTGGCCTGTCCAGCTTGTACCCACCCTCAGTGCGTGTGCTGGCAGCGTGATGTGTAAAGGCACGAGATTAGATCATGGTGTTTGGGACCTATCCTTTTTTCCGCTCGTCGCTAGGCTCTGTTTTTCTTCCTGGGGGCTGTCTGCACAAACTGGTTTCTGCTCTGTGCTGGCACGGTGCCTCTCCCCTGGCTGGGCAGGCTGTGCAGCCCTGGCAGGTGCTGGCAGCCAGACAATGTGCTGCTCCAGCGCTGCAGCACAAGTGCTGATGGGGCTCTTCTCAGCCAACTCAGGGGCTGAGCGCAGGGGTTTGTCTGCTTTGTCCACCACTGCAAAAAAGGCAGGGCAAACCCCAGTGGTGGTGAGAGAGTAATTTGTTCTGATGTAAATTTGGAGGTCACAGTAATGTCAGGGATTCCCTGCAGTTCTTCACCTTTGCTTCCTGAGAGCTGTCATGGTTTGAGCCAAATGCTGGCATGGTGTGGTCAGAATGTGCCTTTTCTGGTGTGGCTCTGCAGATTGGTTACAAATGTAGCTTTAGCCTTTTTTAAAGAAGTGTGAATGTCTGGCTCTGTTCTGCACAATCTATTCCATACCTGAGGTGCTTTACCTCTTGCTCTGCACTGAAGGGGTACATGCTGGAGAGCAAAGCTGGTTTGTTTGTGTTTTCTCTTCAATGCGTTTTATTTAGTACTGATCATTTTGACACAAAGAGACACAAGGTTTTCTGTGCTCTCCTACATGACAAGTAAGATTTGGGAGGCTCTAGCATTTTCTTTGGATTTCAGTCCCCCCTCAGCAGACAAATTAAATGAATTGAAATTTCGGCATGGCTAAATGATTGTCTTATGGCTTCAGGTTGCCACTGTGGAGGTCAGAGCTCTGTCTGCCACCACAGGCTGAGGGATAGGCATTGGCCCACAGAACACATTATTGTTAAGTGAGCTGGGTGAGCCTTCACTCAGCAAGGCTGCACAGACTTGTGTCTGCCTGGAGCAGCCTCAGCTGCAGCTGACCCTGCAGTGAAATCCTGCTGTGTCTCTAGGTTTTACATGTGAGTTTGTGTCTCAGTAAGCCCCCAGCTTGTGGAGATGCTTTTGTTCCCTGAACTGCATGATATCAGGCTCTCTTTACTGTCAGAATCATTTGGGCTGATATGCTCTCCGGAGTAAACTCTCGCACTGCAGCTTCCTAACCTGAAATGTATATGTTGTCACAGCTTTGCTGGGTGTCCCAGAGCAGAGTGCCCTTTTTCCCGGGGAGGTGTGACAGCTCAGTCTCTCCTGGTTATTCCTGTCTTTGCAGTGTGTTAGCCGGCTCTTACTAACTGCCGCTCTCCGGGTGATGGTGTTGCTCTGTGGAAAAAGCATTTGCCGACCTTTCCCCAGTGATGCAATCCCGATCTTTTATTATGACAGTATCTGCTGGATGTGGGATGAGGTGGCACCGTGGAAACAATGAGACATGACAAACTGGAGAGGAGTGGGTGCACACACATGGTTGAGACAGTATGTTCTGCCTGTGCTCTGGTACTTCCTATGTGTGACATTCTTTCCTGCTTGCTCCGAGCGCGTACTCCGGTGTAGGTTTTGAAATACAATGGCCTCGCTTGTTTTTTTTTTAAAGATTGTTTTACCATCCATGAGTGGTGCACTCGCTGCAGCAGAGGTGGAGCTGTGCAGGCAGGCCCCGTGAGCAGGGAGGGGCGGGCTGGCTGTGAGCCGGGGATGTCGGTGCCTGCTGACCGAAACGAGCAGCTTTCGGCGGGACGGTGCCCGCGCCGCCGGTCCTGGAACGGTGGCGGGGGGCAGGACGGCCTGCGCTGGCCGTGCCATCCCCGCACGCCCTGGCTGCCTGCTCCCGGTTCGGGGAAAGCGGCCTCAGGCCCTCCCTGGCGCCCCGCCGCCCGTCCGGAGCCGGGGCCGGGACCGGGGCCAGGATAAGAACCGGGGCCGGTCCCGGGGCACCGCGGGGCGGGGCCGGGCGGCCGGGGCGGGGCCCGCTGCTCGGCCTCGCAACCAATGGCAGGCGGCGCGGAGCGTTACATCACCGCCGGCGGCTGCCATTGGCTGCGGCCCGCCCTGGCCACGCCCCGGGGCGGCCACACCCTCGGGCCCGGGCAGGGCGCGGGCAGCGCCGGGACGGGGCCGAGCCACGGCCACAAACCAAAATCCGCTGCTTCTCACGGGAAACGCTGCTGGAGCGAGGCTGGGCGGGGGGAGCAGCGGGTGCAGCTGAGCTCTGTGACATTTTTAACTAGGAACTCTTTTTAACAAGATAGAAAACGCTTATGTTCCTCAAATTCCATTTATGTGGAACATGGAGAAGTACCTGTGGTTCCTGCAGTGTTGTGGACTGTGCTGCTTTATTCCCAGAGGTGAATCTGGCTCTGGAATTGTGCCCACATCCCTGGTTGCTGTCTTGACCAGCACACTGGTGAGGCTTCACAGAGTATCTTGTCCCATGACTGAAGCACAGGCAAGGCCCCACAGCATGAGGGTAGGGTGGTCCCAGGGCTGGTGGGATCTCCCAGCCTGTGCTCGCTTGGCTCTCTTCTGCTTGCTCTCTCTGAAAAACCAACCCCTCTGTTTCTGCTGCCCTGCTGTAACATGACATTTCCATTTCCTTCTTGCAGGCAGCATGCATGCATAACTTACTGTTCTTGGGTTGTCTAAGTGTCTTGAGAATTATCTGCTGTGACTCCTAGGAATAGAAACTTCCTAATAGAGCAGGATTGCAGCACCACATTAGCAGGTCAGGTTTAGCCTCCTGAAGCTGGCTGGTGCTGAACCTGAAACTGAGAGCTTAGTGCCTGCTGTCCCTGCTGGAAGCTACATGGATGACACATAACTGTAGGAAGAGTTGTGCACTGCTGCAGCAGAATCCTTATTTTCAGCCCAGCATTATGGTGTTTGGCTTGGCAAGGTCGTGAGTTGGAGAGGCTCAGCCCTTCCTAGATGGCGATGTCCTTGGGTTTGCTGTGTGTGGTGGCTGTCTGTTGAGCAAGTTTCTTTCTGTACATCTTCTGGGGAGGAGAACACCGTGTGACTGTGTAAGCCAAGGCTTTATAAGAAGTACTTTGTTGACATCTTTGTGGTGTACTTTAGAGAGAAGGAGTCCATGCTGAGTGTGTGGGCACAAGCAGGTCCCCTTTTCAGGGTGTGTCTGTCAGGGTGCAGAGGGCAGAGGCCCAGCAGGCCTGGGCCTGGCTGTCTGTTCAGCCTGCTCAGAGTGGTGCTGCTCTCATCCAGTGCTCCTGCGCCCTTCAGCCTGGCACTTGGAGCAGAAGAGGAGAAAATGGGAGAATGAGTGCTGATCTCTGCTAAAATACTTTTACCTTTTCCCAGAGAATATGTCAGGCTGCTCAAGAGCAGTGGGAGGACATTGTGCTGTTCTTGCAGCCCTGCTCGTGCCCTGTCCGTCATCTGGAAACTTGTCCCGTGCTGTCCTGCACTGGCAGCAGGCACAGGGGTTGGGCACCTATCTCATGGATTCTGAAGTGTTGAGGGGCATTTTTGGGGTGGCTGAAGGTGATGTTTCAGTTCCTGATAGCCATCGGTGACCTTGTGGCTGATTGTTGTTCTGTGGCTCATGTGTTACTGACTCATCTGAGGATCAGCTGCTGGACTTTCCCCTGCTGCACTTTCCATTTCTGCCCCACTTCAGTGACTGCTGAGATCAAGATGTTCGTTTCTGCCTTATCTCTGGGCACATGCCTTATGTGTCAGTGTGGCTGTGCATGCAGTGGTTGCCATGTGGAATAATTATTTTTTTTCTGTCTGGGGTTTTTCACCCTCAGCTGAAAGCTGCAGCCCATCACAGCTTCCCTTACAGTGGTGTAGACTATGACAGTGTGATGGGTGGAGTTCCCTGTGGCCCTGGGTGTCAGGTCAGGAGCAGAACTCAGGGAGCAGAGTTTGAGACAGTGTGCACCTGTGCATGTGTGTCCAGTCTTGCTGTTCTTCATTGGATACTGGAAGTTTAGAAAATTCATTTAGGCAGCACAATGCCATTAGTTTGGTTCTCTTTTTTTCTTTGGAAGATCTTTCATTTGGATTGGAATGCCTCAGGTGCTGATGGCTGGATGTTACAGTTGGATTTCAGTGCTCAGGCTCACAGATGCTCTCGATCTATGCTGGAGCATTTAAATGTTAAGAAAAAAGCTGTGATTCTTGAGGACCTGAACTCAGAGAGACAGGAAGTGAAACACTAGGTCTGCTGCATCTTTATCTCTTTGTTGTCTTCTCACTTCTAGGAGGAGTCTCAGTTGCATGAATAATTTTTCATTTGAAGGCAGTTGGTGACTTTTGTATCTCTGGATTTACATTTCTTCAAAGGGACAGAGTGGAGGATTCTTGGAGAAAAGATGCCAACAGACTGAGTGTTTGGATTCTGGGATTCTGGAGGCTGTTGTGACTGGAAAGAAACTTGCTGAGGTAGTAAAAGATAAGCGCCAGTCCTCCAAGCAAGCTGGCA